AGATAACAAACAATTTTTGTCTTTTGCAGTTTTTCTGTAAAGTATTTGAATAAAAAAATGATTGAAGACCGATTTTTGACAATTTTTAATAATTAATATCTTGTTAACAATTGCAAAATAGTAGAGAACTTTTCGACTCAGTTTAGTCCACTCTACCTGTCCATAAAATATTTGGCGATTATTTTGAGATATCCTGTATATAATTTATTCTATATATATATAAAAAAAAATAGCGGTAAGTGGTGATCGAAATAAATAGATCATAGACGTCATACAATAAACTTGGGCATCTATCAACATAACCCCATAGAAACATTAGTCGATTTGTGTCTGCATCATAAAGTTATTCTCGATTGAAAATGTCAGTTTACGAGCCAAATTCTCGTCATTTGCGGGAGGTTTTAATTTTTTGCTTCAATATGAAGAAATCTGCGGCTGAGGCTCATCGAATGCTCTCAAATACTTATGTGAGGCCGCTATTAGTGAAAGAACATGTCGTGAGTGGTTTCAACGCTTCAAGAACGGTAATTTTGACGTCCAAGGTCATGCTCTGTATGACCTATATGAGCTGGTGGGACCAGCTCGGCGTAGTGTATTATGAACTGTTAAAACCGACTGAAACAATCACAGGCGATCGGTATCGAATTGATACGTTTGAGCCGAGCATTGAAAGACAAACGGCCGCAATACAACGAGAGATACGATAAAGTGATTTTGCAGCATGACAAGGCTCGACCCCATGTTGCGAAAGTGGTCAAGACATATATATTGGAAACGTTGAAATGGGAAGTCCTATTCCACCCGCCGTATTCTCTAGACGTTGCTCCCTCTGACTATCACTTGTTTCTATCAATGGCACACGGTCTGACTGACCAACACTTCCGGTCTTATGAAAAAGTAAAAAATTGGATCGATTCGTGGATAGCCTCAAAAGATAACCAGTTTTTTCGACGCGGGATTCGTACGCTACCCGAAAGAGAGAAAGTAGTGGCCAGCGATGGACAATACTTTAAATCATAAATGTATAACAGTTTTTTACAATAAAGCCTCGAATTTTGGAAAAATTCGGCGGAAGCAAAGTTGTACACCTAATATATTATGGCACACATTGACATATATTGACATAAAATATTAAAGGAAGAATTTTATTGGATCGTAGATGTGAATACACAATTAATAGGAAATAAAAGCCTTTTAACGATTGAAACTGGATCTTAAGTGCTTAAATATTCGATCTCATACGTCGTCATGAAAATTGCGCGCTAAATTGATTTTTCAGACTTCTAAAATGCAATCCGACAAAACTATAGTGGTAACATAGTAATTTGATGGCATCTTGGAAAAATCTTAATAATGTTGATAAATTTAATTATTAAAATCTGTAAATAATTTTATTGTGAAAAATATTACCTCGGTCGAGATTCAAACTCAGATCTCTTTCTCGCTGAATGGGCATCCATAGTCAAACTATTGAGGCCTTAAGTAATGCAAATTAATTAGGGGTAATCAAATTATCATATTACCACAAATTATTATATTAGTTCTGTCGGAATTGCGTTTTAAAAGACTGAAAAATCAATTTGGCGTGCAATTTTTATAATAACATATAAATAGTGAATTATTTAAGCATTTAAAATTCAGCTTCGACCGTTAAAAGATTTTATTTTCTTATTGATAAATATAAAATATTCAATATCTCGTAAACCATTAATTTTATTATAATCGTATTTTACTTTATAATACTTTTGTGAATAGAGTAAAGAATCAATTGAGGTAAAGAAAACACGTAGTTGCTTATTTAAAAAATTATCCATTTTGCTTATGTATTTTTTAAAGCAACTTATATGTTTATAAGTATACACCCTATATGTTACCAAGATCATAGCCTTGAATGACTTCCAACAGGTTTCAATTGTCGCCGTTATTCATTAAAAAAAATTATACTCTCCTAATCGGTTCATCCCATGTCTCCTCCTCTAGAACCATTCTATTTTTCACGCAAAGTAGTGAAATAATTATTAATTTTGATTGTTAATAATTTTTTAACAATCAAAGTTAGTAATTATTTCACTACTTTGCGTGAAAAGTAGAATGGTTCTAGAGGAGGAGATATGGGATGAACCGATTAGGAGAGTATAATTATGCGAAGCGAGGTCCATCTCATCTTTTCCTGCTTGGTGCGCGCCACTTTTCACACAAAAGGTCTGTCCTACCTCCCTTCCTGCTTAGAGGCGCACGACTTTCTAGGCAGGGAGAGTACAATGTAAATCTCACTTCGCGTGGAAAGTCGTGTGGGGGGGGGGGGAGGTGAGACGGATCTCTCTTCGTGTGAAAAGTTGAACGTTCTTAAGCAGGAGGAAGTATAGGATATTACTTAATATTAAATGTATATAGCAATGTGACATTATTTCTTAAACTTATTTTGTTAATATAATAACTATTTAATCAAATAACGAGCGACGGCTAAAACCTGTTGGAGATCACTCAAGATCATGACTTTGATAATATCAAGGTCATTAGAGTTTGGTCTTCTAATCAGTTCTTCAGTACTTGGTATAAAAATATTGGTACAAATATAATGCATATACTAAAATATGTGTAAAAATCATGTACAAAAAAAAATTAAAATTGTATAATGTAAATTGTCTAATAACATATTTGCAGATGATCTACTGTGATTCAGTTATATAAATTATATAGGATGTCTCTGACTTATGGAATCGCCTATCAAGGTCATTAGAGTTTGGTCTTCTAATCAGTTCTTCAGTACTTGATATAAAAATATTGGTACAAATATAATGCATATACTAAAATATGTGTAAAAATCATGTACAAAAAAAAAATTAAAATTGTATAATGTAAATTGTCTAATAACATATCTGCAGATGATCTACTGTGATTCAGTTATATAAATTATATAGGATGTCTCTGACTTATGGAATCGCCTGTCATGAGCAGGTAGAACAGACCGAACTGAAACAGACCGAATCGAAAAGTCTTTTACTATTTTGTAATTTTCGTAATACTTTAAGAGATATTATGTATAGATTTTGAAGATAATTGAATAAATACGTATCCGCGCGGATTTTCGTCAAATATACACTCATCGGTATCGATCGCTTGTTACATAGGTGCGCCGCTTGTGTTATGATGTTTAAGACGCGTCTATTACGTAATTCCCGCGTGACAAGACCGCAACCGATGGACGTATACTTAATAGTAGACACTCGCTGCATGGACACACGCTGCACGTAATTGGTGATTTTTAGAAATTAATATCTTAAACAGTTTGCAAAAATTGCAAACTGTTAAAGAATTTTTCGACTCAGTTCAGTCCGCTCTACCTGCTCACGAGAAGTGATTTAGTTGGGGACATCCTGATAAAGAACACGACTGGCTCCTGCACACAGAACGCGGCAACGCTTGTCGCGCGGTGGAAATTATTGAACGGTGAATAATCAATAATTCTATATTTTTAAATCGGCCTCACCAAACCTTTTAGAAATGATATAATAGTACTTCCGCCGCGCGGCAAAAGTTGGATTTAGTTCAACTTTTGTTGCGCAGAAACTATATATCTATTACTTCCGAGCAAACAAGTGATTGGCTATCGCGCCAATTTACGCTGCGCGGCAAGCGCTGCCGCATTCTGTGTGTGGGAGCCATAACAATAGAGAGTTTTTGCAATAATGTGAATTCAGATACAGTGAATTTTAAAGTCATGTTATCCTTTTCTTAATTATTATAGTTGCTAGGAAGACAGATCTAAGCATTCACCGTATCTGGATAAACAGCATTGCAAAAACTCCCTAATAAGTTTTATGTGAGAGAACTGATAGCATCTAGCGGCATTCCTACAAAGATGAATTCAATATTCATTTCATTATTAATTAATTTCATTATTTTGAGATATTTTCATTAATTTACAATGTGTAGTATTTCAATTTGTAGTATTTCAATATATCTCAGTGCATACAATACACAGTAAAAGATTATATATTTTACTTTTCATTTTTCTTTCCCATTTTCAATATCTCTAAGATTTATGGTATTTCAGTAATATAATTTAGTGTTTAATATCTCTGAATAAATTAGTAAGAATATTAAATGTTATTTTTGCGTCAGTTTCCATTATTTTTAAACTCGTCATTAATTTTTATTATTTTTAAAATTCATAATATCTCTCAGTATTAAAAAACTTATTTATGTTGAAATACTTTCAAAAATATTTTATTTTCATTTCTCATTTCAACAATTTCATTGTCGATTTCAATCATTTCAACCACTTCAATCATTTCAATCATTTCATTTTTTTCCATTAGGAAAATTAATACATACGAGAGGAATACGGAATTCAAAATGTAGTGAGATTCATGAGAATAAGGAGATGTCATTGGAGAAATTATGTGGACAGGATGGGATCCGATGGAGTGATAAAATGACAAGATCAGGACAAGATCGGAGATCCTTATTTCCAGACGATTGTCCGGAAGATCGTCCAAAAGATGGGTACGAGAATTGGACCTCTGCTTCGAAGGAAAATTAAGAGAGAGCAGAAGAAATAGGACATAGTCCTAATAGAAGAGGAAGAAAAAGAATTAGAAAAATCATTTTAATATTATTATAATAAAAAAAAATTATATAATTTTATTTAAAAAGTGGAGGTATCTCGTATCTTTCTGGTGTCTCCATAAAAAAAAATGTAATACTATCTCCATAAAAAAAATACGTCCCCTTCGAAACGATTCCATCTTTGTCTGTAATATTTTTCAGTTTTTTCTATATTTATCGAGTTATTGGCTTCATACTTTACACATACTGTGAGTCCTCAGATAGCAATATGGCTGTCTTGTTGCTTGCTAAGTATACTATACATTGCTAAATATGTGTTGCTACCAGAATTACAGCTGAGTTTTTGTTAGCAACTTAATACATCCACGACAACATCACTATTTTGCTGAGACACGCTTTGCTATCTGGGTCATGTATAATTATTTTACCTATATATCCTATCTTGCACCAAAGAATCCATTATAGTTCCGTCTATCTCGCCGAAGAATTTTCCGGTATGCTCATGACGTTCACTTATAATAATAAATCCATTGTTATCTAGAATGTAACAATCGAGCTCCTCCGAGGCACAATTCTTTTTACATCCTGTCATTCCGGTACACTAAAATAACGAATTTACTCATATTTCATGTGATAATTATGCATAAAAAAAAATACGTTTACTTACTGTCGAAGTAATATTCACAAAATGGGTTGCTAAAGATGAGTGTTGGAATTGCAAACCTACTACCACTGCTGGAGCTTTGTGACCTTTTCCGATGAATATAGCATGGGTGGCGGTGACGAGTGGATCGGTCGTATCGGCTAATAATTAAAAAATCATATAAATAATTGATACAACATCAATACGCAGCGACGTCAGTCAGTCAGTTAGTTAACATCAAACAGTAAGAAAGGACAAATCTTTGGGAAATCTAGAATTACGTGCACGAGTCCTATATATTTGATTACACATATATATATGGCTCACATAAAAAAAAAAACAAAGAAATAAAGTTTATCAATCATATTATTCATATTGGCATAAAATTTCATTTTAAATTATGATGTCTATAAAGCATTTCAATAAAAAACAAAAGGCCTAGTCGAATAAGCATATAAAAAATGTCTCTAAATCAAATCCAATTTTGAGTATGTTACATTGTTAAGCTCGATAAAAGATTATTTTCACATTTCAATAAGATTATATCACATTTCAACTTGTTAAACTTATCCATGTAGTAATAGTAAAAAACGTCAATTTCAATTTTTTTTATTTTTCTACCATGTGAATTAAAAAATTTGACACACTTTTTAGCATATTACATTAAAAAAAAATTTTTTTAGATTTTTGATTAAAAATTTGAATTAAAAAAAATGAAAAAATTTTTAATGAATGTTTTTTATTGAAAATACTTGAGTACTGTCTTCAAAAAATTATGGTGAATTAATCCATGATGAATGAAATATGTCATACTCAGTCTTTTTTAAAGATGTGGAATATTGTTTCAAAAATTGAAAACCAGTTTTTTAATATTCTTTATTTGTATTTTCCCGACAAAAATATATTTAATATAATACTATTATATTTATACATACATTATTATAATTATATATACATTATTTTGAAATATTTTATACAACATGGGATGTATATTCAGAAGTAACCGATTTTTTAAATGAAATTATAATAAGGTAAAAAAATATATTTAATATAATTTTTTATATAATATTTAATTTTTATAATATATTTAATTTTTTTTGATATTTAATTATTTGATATTTAATTAGTAATGTCGTTTGCATCAAAAAATTTTGGTGTATCTCAGTTAATATGTTTTTTTTTGTTGAAACATTTTGGGGGCCACAAAGAATATTCGAAAGTTAAAAATAAGATCCACTTTAATTTTTACAAATATTTTAAAGAAATTTTATTATTTTTTTATCCAACTTTTCTTTATTTACAAATGGTATGCAAGAAATAATTAAAGCTAGGAGCTTTCCATCAGGACATTTAGGCATAGTGTTTTCCAATAACGATATAACACAAGTTTACAGCCAAAAGGGAACTCTGTCGATGCATGTCACCTAAAAACCTTGATGAAAAACATAAATTTATGTTAAAATACGCATATTTACCTGCGTTAAATGATACGCTGAAAACGAAGCTTTCCGGTTCTATGGAATGTTGATCTACTGCGCGTTTGTACCATGATGAATCCATAGCTCTTGCATGTTTTTCAGCGAATCGCCTGCGTGCCATTAATTTTGCAAGATTGGATAATAAATCATGTTAAACATCCATCGTTTTCCAAATTTTTGATTTAACATTAAACAAATACTATTTTATAATTCTTTATAATTTATCATTTATCCGACAGTTTTATTGTTAAAAATAAGCTCACGGTTCCTCGGTGTTTCCGTCATTCTGTTGATGTTCGTGCCATCGCAGGAGTCCGCTCCTGGTCGCAATGAAGCTCCTGGTGACGCCGAATCTACCTTTGCCCTGACTGCAATTGCAAAACAAGCTATGTAAACTGTATTTTCAGTGGAACAGCAAATTGGAACGCCATTGGTACGCAATTATTTGCATATTCAGTAGCTGAATTGCAAATCAAATTAATTGCTTTAATCGTGGCACATGGATTTCCGATCAATAGTTTTGAGCTTGCAACTTCTCTTCCATCGATTAAAATACGAGGAAACAAGTGCGAGATGAAATAAAACCGTGAAAACGCAGATTTGACGTAGCTGAACATTCGAGGGTCTTTCGTTAACGTACCTATTAATTTTGATGTTTTATAAGTTTGATAATCTGAATTGGAGACAACAATATATTTAAATATATACAACGATATACATATTTTAATATGCAACAAAAAATATATATTTTTTTAAATTTGCATTCAATAATCACAACGTTAATTGTATTGTATATAGAGTGTCTGATACGCGATAGTAGAATCAAAAGAAAGTAATTCCTTAATGAAAATTCGAAATACATACATACATACATACATACATACATACATACATACATACATACATACATACATACATACATACATACATACATAATATATATATATAT